AAGATGAAGCTCGCTCTGATTAGCACGGAGCTGAAATACTCACCTCAGTAGAATTTACCGTTGTGCTGTAGAAGACTTTTTTTCAAAGCTGAAAATAGTTTGATATTTACAACGGCAACCTTGAATTGAGAGGCTCCTCCTCAGAGAGAAGCTTTTGTTCCAAATCACATTTTAAATGATGATGATTATGTGCAGTGTTATAATAAATGCAATTATTCTGCCATTTCTATCAAAAATATTACATGGGAAACAAAAGAAATGCTAAGTTAAGCTGGCTCGTGATGCTGTATTACACCTTCACGCTGTACAGCTGATACATCTGCCGCATCAGAAAGTTTCGGCACGTTGTCTGAACTTGTGCACTGTGGTTATGGTGACAGAAAAAAACAGCACACGTAAAATCTGATAGGTCTGCAGCCTATCCCTGTTGCCATTACTGTTGCTTCAAGAGCTCTAAACAGCTTTCTATTCCAGCTTTTGATTATTCTCCACAAATTGAATGCAGCACGGTACATGAATGGCTGGTTTCAAACAAATAATCTGAACATACAGTTTGACAAGTATGTCATGTTTAGCTTACTTAAAGGTCTGAAACAACATTCCAAGTATTTCCAAGTATATGAATTTTAAGTTCCAAACTACTAATGCTTTATCTTTGCCAATCCAGGCATGAGCTGCTTGTTTCTGCATGTATGCTCATTTATCTGTAAAGGAAAGCGGTGCTTTTGGTACTCTCAGGCATTTTATTTATGCATTTTTCAGGCACAGTTTAAGAGGCTGCTTCTCAGATTAGCCACCGTTATTGTGTCCTGGGTCCCCCATTGACTTCATTAGGAGCGGTGCACACAGAGGATTTCTGAGGGTGCTAAAAATGTCAAATGGGGTATTGAGCAAAGAGGAAACCAAACCAGTAAAGAAAGCTCCCTGGAACAATCAGGGTTTGATACTAAAACCTGGCGTACTGCACGTAGCGTCTGACATGTTTACAGGTAAAACGTGTACATTTTATAAAGCATATGTGTTTCTTCTAGCCCAGTTTTCAGGAACAGCAAAAACCTTCTGGCTTTTCAATGCAACCCTAAAAAATTTCCAGGAAAAGATTGTGCTCCTCTGTTGACACATTCAAAACACGATGAACGACATCTTTGAAGTATATATTGTCAATTTAATAATGGTGTTCATACAATGAAGATCTCGGGAGCATCTGGTATTAAAAAACTTTGCCAAAATCTGCAGGCAGCACCTCTGTTTGCAAGAGCCTCAGGGGACACTGCTGCAAATCAAAACCTTTCTACTCTTCCATGCATAGTTTAATTGTGGTCTTAAAATATTCATGCACGTAGATTCTTCATGCTTTGCCACAGCCACACCAAAAAACGTTCTCTCTTTGAAGGCTTGCAGGCATGCCATGTGCACATCATGATTTCGGACAGCGGAAAGCAGCATTCGAAGATGATAAAGCAATACTTCAGGAGAAACAAAGAGGAGAGAAAGCAGAGTTTTCTAGCCAAACGCCCCAACAACAGGGGCCTGCCTGCTGCAGTTACCCTTCTCTGTAGGTCAAGTTTTACGCTACTACCTGTCTCTTTTATGCTTGCCCTGTAAAATCAGTGTCAGTCACAAGGGATTCATGAAATCTTTGACTCTTCTCCTTTTTAAAGGTCAGGGCTCCACTTTTTAATTGGAAAAGCAAAAGGCGAATGAGCCCGACCATGAACACTGCTGCCCTTAGTACGTGCCTTAGGAAGCTCAAAGACTGACTGAGTATGTCAGGGCTTTTTGGGGGTGCCCAAGTGGGGCGAGGGGTGACATTACAAACTTATGCAGTTTCTTGGGAAAAGGAGGCATTGCTGGAGCCTAAGCACTGCAGTGGCAATTGCAGGACTTAACCAATTACTGTACCTGGAGCTGGAGGTGGAAAGCAGCCACCTACATGAGTTCAAGCTGATCACAAGCATTGTCATCCAGATATTTGTTTAATGACTTCTTTGATAAATATTTCTTTTCTCTTCATCAGGATTGTACCTTTCAATTTTGACAACTCCCTTCTTCCCAGATGGTAAAAACAAAAAAGAACCCTAAGGCGGTTTGGGTCTGGGGAACTGTGGGGTTTTAGGTTTGTTTTGGTTTACTCCCCCAGGGAAGCGCAGGGAGAGGGGAAAGAAGACAGACTGAACATTTTTTGATTTTGGAAAGCTGGGTTATTTTTCTCTTTTTCTTTTCTAAGAGCAATAGAAACATCGCTGGAGTATGAAACAGTTTCATTTCTGTTAGAAATTTTCATTGGAAAGATGTGAATTTTTTTGTTTAGCTCTGATACTTACTGCGATATATCTAATGGCTGACCAGCTTTGTTTCTCACGTTTCAAAGATCACTTCAGTAATTCCAGTAAATACATGTTTTGCCTATTCTTGAGATATCTAGGTATTCCTAGAGTGACCTTCAGCATGGATTCTGAACTGAAATGTAAATTTCTGAATAACTTTTGTTCCTAATAATTTTCATTATTTATTTATAAGGAAGTATAAAAAAGCAGAGAAGTAATTACTCCTTCCTTTATTTTCTTTTTTCTTAAACAGTGAATACAGCGACTGCATGTTTCCCTTTTAGGTTTTTAGCAAAGCTCTCATGCACATATGTGCTCGTCACCTGGTTTGTGTCTGTGCATGATGTTCAGACTGGAATTTGGGGGTTTGGGTCCATTGGTTTATTTTGCCAAAGCCAGGCTTAGCATCCTCCGTGGAATACATACCTATATCTCTCATGCCTTCCCTACTTACTCCTCCAGTCTCTCCACTAAAGTGCTCTGCTTTGGTAAACTTTTGCCTGTTAAAGCACTTCTCTAGTTTATGGCACACATTTCTTTAAACTGTCATTGCTACCTTAAGTGTGAGACTATTTCCTGAATATCTTTATGATAACTGTCTCCAAAGTTATTGTGTGATATGTTGTTTACCATATCTGCTATTTCTGACATAATGCTCTGAATTGAAATATTAAGAAGTATTGGAACCAAGGCTTAGCTCTAGAGGTTTTTAGCCATCTTTCTGTCTATATCAGATCATACTCATCATAACATTTTTCATTTAATTTTTTATCGGGATTTATCTAAGATGCTATTGAAAATTTCCCTTATAAAAAAATTATTGAGGATCTATATTCTACATGAAACCTGCATAACATTCATCAGTAATATTTTTTACTTTTACCAGTTTGCTTATCGTATATATATTTGAACGCAACATAACATGAAGACATGAGTGGCCCATAATTTCCAGAAAAAATTAGGTAGGGTTCTGTTTCTTACTGAAGTCTCTTTTCTTTTCCTCCAAAGATTGAAGAGCTTCACAGTTAGCAGTTCTTCCTATTTTCATTTTATACATTTTATTTTATTAATGATTTTTTTTTTTCCAAAGGACGTAAAGTACCTCTAATATAGCAAACCATCCCAACGGATTGCGTGCAAATGAAAGACCTTGTTACATACAGCATTGTAACATTCTGCCTTACCCTTTCTCTAATGCCTGAGTGTTTCGCCTGCACTGAATGACTTCTGAGTGTAAAGGAAATATATCACCATTTCCTCTGATGGTTATTTAAAAAAGATTCTGCTTTTATTGCCTATTCCCATCACAGGAATCATAGCACTCCTTACCTCTTGCTATGTCTATTCCATTTTCTTTTAACTCAAGATCCTTCTAATTTCCCATTTTTCAGCTAGCTGTTAAGTATTTGTCAGCAGTAGCACCTGTCTTGGTTCACCTTCTGATTTCATGAGAGAAGAAAGAACACATCTTCTGCCACAAAGATCTTCCCTGAAAAGAAGGTCATGTATTTCTGGATTGCCTATGACCTTCTTGCATGCCTCCATTTACTGGTCTACAACAGGGGTATAATAATGCTCACCCAGGGCTTAATTACATATTGTTGGAAATGTATTCAAGACATTTGGGGAAAACTTGACTTAGGACTCCTCTTCCTCTTTTGCTTTTTTCTCAGGTACCTAACTGCCCTCTGTTAGCTAATTTCTTACTGGCCCTAAAACGGTTTTCTCTTGTATTCCTTCTCCTACTGAAGTAATGTGCAAGTGTCTGTTTAGCCTTGATAGACACATCTTTGTTCTTTCGGTGCAATGGTACTTCATGTACAGCGTTTTCTCTCAGGACTTCTGAGACTTCTGCTTTTGTCAAAAGTAGGGTAATTAAATTGCCTCATTAAAACAAGGTCCTATGACTATAAAGTCCCCCAGCTCCCTCAGGGAAACCTCTCTACCCTCTCTCTGACAGACCATCCCATCAAATCTTTCCCCTTTCACCCTATTTGATGAAGCATTACCACTTTAGTTCGTTAGCCATCAGTATTTCATGTACTTTACAGGTAATTTACTCCGAGGACAATGGCTTGTGGGACACACAGCCTGACTGAGAGTGTCCCGCAGCAAAGGCACATTCTGGATGACAGCGATCCAAGCTACCCTTCCTGATGACCGGGGGCACTGGGGATGTTGCTAAGCACACCCATGAGCACATTACAGAAGCAGAAGACAGCTGGCAGAAAGCAAGAGGATTGTCCAGCACAAAGAGCCAGCGCACGCCATCCCAAGCCAAGTCACCTGGCTCTTCCCCATGGCCCCTCGCTTGTCCTTCCTACATGCTCCAGGCCTGCTTTCTCTTTTTGTTTTATGCCCGTAGAGCGTGTGGGCTCAGCAAGGCAAAACCTCCCTCTCTTCACTCTGCAAAGGACCCCACATCCTCTGCGTACCCCCCTGCCTTAAGTCAAGGTGAAGGAGCCCAAAGTCTCACACACATCTGCAAATGGTAACATTAGGACACGTTTTTGTCACTGTTACATGGGAACACCCCACACAGTGGATGTGAAGGTTGGAAATCAGCTACCACCTGACCAGCCCTTCCCGGCACCCCGTTCCCAGCCTCGTTGCCCTTGGCTGCCCCGCACCCTGGAGAAGCAATGGCAGCTGCGCGGGGCCGGCCGCACTCACAGCACACAGAGGCAGTAGACTCCTGGGATGCTCTCGCTGTCCCGCAGCAGGTAGCTGCCATCGGTGCCCGTCGCCAGCAGCAGCTTCTCCCCAGCCTCACGGGTGATGCCCCCGTGGTAGATGGGCAGCGCGTCCATGCTGGGGCCGTCTCCCGCTGCGGGCAGCTCTCCCTGTGCACGGCGATGCCTCTGGCTGCTCCTCAGCTGTGTGATCCCCTCAGCATCTCCGTCTCGGCGGCAGATGTAAACAGGATGTGTTCACACCTCTGAAGCCTCTGCAAAGGGTGAGACAGCGCTGAGGGAAGAGTGAGGAACGAACAAAGCTTTTTTGTGTTTTTTTTTCCTTTGCCCCTTTTTGTTTTCCTTTTTCACAGGCTGTAACATCCTCACGGCATCACAGCTTGCGCACAGAGGTGTCATTTCACAGCCCACCATCGCCCAGGTGGCTCCTCGCTCAGCAGGGAAATGACATGATGAAGTGCATGACAGCATCAGGACCGTGGCACCACTGTCAGCGGCTGCCACCAGGCACTTGTGTCCTCTGGCATTAACCCAAGGGGGAACAAAGAAGGGCGAAGCAGGACCCCAAAGGCCCTCTGCAAAGCAAGGATTCTTTTTTTTAACCTCTAATTTTTAAAAATCACCAAGGGAGGAGAAACTGGGGGGAGCAAGCTGGCCTTGCTGGCCTTGCCCCACCAGGCCACTCGCTTCAGGCCACAGGTGCCGAACACGGCCCCTGCTCCTTGGCGACTGGCCTGGTGCCCCCGACTGGTGTACCTCATGATGTGCCTGTTTTCATAGGCTTTGGTGGTGTTTAATCACTGCTAATGTCAGAGATGCTCATTATTTCTCCTTGGAGGCAGGCAACGGCCTCAGCACAGGCAAGGAGGCCTCTCACATCCTTCCTGACGCCATCAGTGCAGCTGCCGCCTCCGTGTGATGCGCGAGCAGGCAGCCAAAATCCAGAGACATGTCTGAAAAAGCCATTTCTCTCACCTGCTGTGGTCACAGACGTTTCCTCAGCACACCTGTCAGTTGAAAGCTCCCATAAGCACGTGCTTGCAAATGGGTATGTTTGCAAACAAGTTGAAAATGTGCTTTTATATCCCCACAGATATTTCCACCCATGGAAAAACTGAGCGTGTTTCCTGGTGCTGAGCGACACCGCACGGCAAGCAACAAGGTGGCCATGGCCACCGGGCCAGCCCCTTTGGCCTGCAGCGAGCTCAGGGCTGAATTCATCCCTGGCGCGAGGCCGCTGCGCTCCCCTGATGAGCCACGTTCTCCCATCTGGGTGTCTGAGTAATAACTCATAAAATATAGCGATAACTACAGGTCCTGCTGATGATTGATTCATTTTAAATTGAGTTTGCTAGCAGGACAGGGCAGAATGAAATAATCTCGCCCAGGTGTTCACAGAACACAGTGTCCCAGTTGAAGTTAAGGTTGGGTGAAAAAAATAGCTCTCTAGATACACACATTTCAGGAACAAAAATTAAATTAAAAAACACTGGAAATAAGGGCTGCTCTTTTTAAGTTTTAATCAATCAAAATGTTTTGTCTTGATTGTTTCACAGTGCGTGCCTTTCCATTCTGACCTTTAACACAGTCTTTCCTTGAAACTATTTTTTTCGAACTAGCTTTGGCTTTTCCTTTTGAGGGATGGGCATTTCTGACGAAGGAGTCACAGTTTAGCTCACATGTGGGGCACTGCACCAAAGTCTCTGATGGCAAAGCTGCATCTTTCGGATGCAGGCTCCTGCCATGCAGGGAGACCCCGGCGAGCAGCTGCCTCCCTGCCTGGGACCTGGGGGACTGAGAAAGCTGCAGAAAACCTCAGCTGAAGAGGGACTGAAAACTTCCACTGCCGTGTTCATGGCTTTTCTATCTTGTTACATGGGTGTTTGTTACTATGCAAACCTGGGGAGTTGGCTATCCTGCTCCAGTTTTTAAACCAGTTGTTCAAAGTATTTGCACAAAGAAGTAGAGCTGCTGCCTACTGCAAATGTGATTAATGTAGATGGCGACAAGGTGTAAGCAAAGCCCTGTTCCCTCGTAAAGCTGCTGCCTGTTTCTTCTCCTTTTCCAAACTACCTTTACTGTTGGGGATTTCATCTAATTTTCCCATTTCTTAACCTATTCACAATATTAATAGCTGATTTCAGAAAAAGTATATGTGTAGTTAGCCGGAGAGGAAAAACAACCAGAATCATCCAGTTCTGCCGATCTCGTGGCCCCATTCATCAGATTTCAACTACAGCATAGGTAGAAAATCATAAAACTTTTGACTATGAGATGCTTTCTTAATCAGGGAGTTACCACATTACAGGCCAGCCGGCATACTCCCAGCACTTTGATGAAGCAATATCGATTAATGTAAAAGAGCTGTAAACACCCATTTTTGCTTTTGTGGGAAAGGAACCCATAAAACTCCAGGTTCTGAACCCCAAAGCCTGGGTTTCCATACAAATCCCTTAATGGCCACGTGGACCTGGGGACACGCAGCTTTTAAGAACTAATGGAAATGCTGAATTTTGGAACAAGGAACACTATGCCAGCATTGAGGCACCGGCAGCACAAACCAAAGGACATAGGTGCTTCCTGGGCTGCGAAGAGAGAAACCATGACACCGCTAGCACAGCTCTGCACCACACCACTGAGGCTGGAGAAATCCTCTCTTGTCCCAAACAAGCCATTTTCACCACACCTTTGCACCGTCGGCACCCAGTCAGACTGACACCGACTGCTCTGTTTTTTATCTGTTGAATCTTATGCATCAAAAGTATTGTTTGCCATCCTATTTCGTGCTGCTGCATATGCGCAGTGGGGCTGAGAAGGCAAATTGCAAAATAGAGCAGCAGGCTAGGGAGAGTAGGAGAAACAACAGAGAATCACGCTGCTCCCGTCTGGATTTAGCCCCTATTGCCTTCCACTGAAAATGGTGATTTCTTTAAACACCCCGAGCCTCGCCCTGTAGGATGCTGGACACTTCGCTTGCTTTCAGAGTATTCAACATATTCTGGACACCACAGTTTTGTACCTTCCCTGAATCAGTCCAGCTAGCATTCCCTGCAGTACACTATAAAAAATTTATCTAAAAAATACATGAAGGAAAGGAAGCACTTAAAAGTGCTCTGAAATATTTGGTCTGAAAAACAAGCTTAGAAAGATAGGCCTGCATAGACCTCTTGGGTCATCAAGTCTAGCTCCCTGCTATCTTAGCCAAACACATCATATAACTCCTTTCAGAAACTCATTATACGCTGTCTTAAAAGTAGCTTGGGGTTTTTTGTTGTTGTTGTTGTTTTTTCCACTGTTCTCATTGGAAAGCAATTGCAGAACATCGCTATTCTGTTGTTTGGAAACCTGCTTCGAATTTCCATCCTAAATTTATTCATGACCAATTTATACTCATTTGTTCTTGTGCCAATGTTGTCCTTTAGTTTAAATAGATGTTTTCTCTTCCCGGAGCCTATGTGGTATTTATAGCGGCCTCCCTCAGCCTTCATTTTGCCAAACTCCTCTCACACTTAGGGCTCTCCCTTCCCGTGGTCACTCTAATCGTCTTTTTTCGGTAGCTTCCCAAAAGTGAAGTGAATCATTTCTGAACAGCGTGCACTACCCTGGCTGATTTCTAACATGTGCCTCAAACACGGTTACCGGCGTTTCATTACCCTGGTGAAAATATACCTTACTTTGCATGCTCTGCGTCTTTCCCCTCCTTATTCTTCTCTTAACTATGAGCATGCAGGTATAAGAGAAACTTGGTTAACAAGACTCAGATGCATGAACTTGCACTCAAATCCTTCTGGATTTCATCCAATTTATCCTATCCTGGTCCTCAAGGTCACTCAGTTCTTCCTAAATGAGAGTTTTATTCGTCTCTGCAGTGACAGTACCTCCCTCCCTTATGCCATTGGTAAATTCCATTAGCGCACACACTTATTTTTTATGCCATCATCATTAATAAAAGATGTTAAATAATATCAGGCCCAAGACTGATGCTTGGGAAGCTCTACTACCTTCCCTCAGTACTGATCTTCTCCTCCTACTACTTACTTTCTTATTCACTTTTAAATTTCTGCACTAATCTCCCATTTTAGCTCATAATTTCCCACATGGCACTGTACCAAATGCTGTACTTAAGTTTAGATAATTAGCTCTAAGCACTTCCTTTGTCTAGAAAAATCAATTATGATGATATTTCAGGCACCGGAACTTGTAGAAGTACCTGAGAAGTGGAGGTAGGGGAGACAAAATGAAATTACTTAAAGTTTTTTGAACACCTGCAACGATTTGGGCTGATTTTCATTTTCAGATGAGCTGCTTCATTCATCCCTAGCAATGACATTTTCATACATTGTTGAATTTTATAACAATTCTGAATATTATAACACTAATGCAAGAGCATTATTAAAATTCTTGGATATTGTTATTTGACTGAAAATAAGAATGACCTTCAGGACCTTTCTGAAATTAATGCTACTGCAGAACTGCTATAGGAAGGCCTTGTATAAAGGGCTATAAAGCAAGATAAAAAATAAAATACCTGTACCGGTAGTTTTGCTGATACAGCAGTATTATCGTAAATGCCATCTCTGTGGAAGTACTGAAAAAGCAGCTTCAAAATCAGCGCCTATTGCATTGTTTTTAAAAACATATTTAACTGGCAAAATGCCACATTAAAACACAGCTAACTTTAAATATGATTTTCATTATTTTGTGTCACTTTCATTTTTAGTGTAATCTAACAAAATATTCAGAGCAACTCTATAGAATAGTATCTGCAGACGGAAACTTGCTATTCACATAAGAAAGTAATGCCGAGATTCAGAAAAACGTTGGTTATTTTACACAGTGTCTGCAGAGTCACCATCATCGTGTTTCCTTTTTGACCTGAAATGAGAGCGGTGGGAAAAAGCAGGCTACAATTAGCAAATTTGTAATTAGCTGTAAGGTTCTGAGCACCGATACAGAAGGAGAATCCAATCAAATTTTGGCTTAAAGTTCACAGGCTAGCATGTATTTCTGCAGCCTCTGTGTTAGTCATGACATTCTATGTATGTTGCTTGGGGGGGTGGGGGGGAGGAAAAAAAAAAGGAAGATGGTTGTAATGAATAAAGTTTGAGTGCAGGTGT